CCATCAGACAGCTATACACAGCACAAAGTTTAGTGCGATCCTGAGGCTCGCACGCGCGACCCTTTGGTTAAAGGAATCAAAATTTTTCAGTGCATTTAGAATGAGGGCTTTTAGAAGAGTTGCAAACAGGACCGCTTAGGAAGTATGCATTTTCCACTGATTTTAAACTTCCTCCAAATTCAAGTATATTTGATTAAAAGAAGGCCTTAAGAGATTTTTTTAAGTAGCAAATTACATCTTTGTTGTTATGATTTTAAATAACAAATGATTAACTTGCGGTTTTAATGCAGTGTTTTAAGTTCCTGAATAATTTTAAACAAAAACTGCTGCTACGGGTTTTAATGCCAGCAGTGGTAGATTTTTCAGTGTAAGTTAAATGCCACCTGTCTATACGCTGTTAATGAAAAAAAATAAAAGGCTCGTAAAACTTTAAATGAAACTGTAGACCAGATAGTATACTTTACAAAAACCCTTAGCAAATGAAGGGATACGATGCTTTACGAACTGAAGTGTGCAAAAGCCTTCCCTGCTGTGTGGGTTCGACTCCCACCAAAGCCGCGAATTTTTCACGATTGAGTCAGGAAATCTGCCAAACTCCTAAAAACCAAGGTTAGCCTAGTAGTCCATCTGGTGGACCCTAGATGATTGCTCAGGTAATCCTGCCTGGAAGTCAGCTTACTTCGTCCGTATTGGTAGATTCTATACATACAGTAAAGGTGAGCAAGCAACTCGATCCAAGTGTGATTAAATTCACGGCGCACGGTAAACATCTTAGCCCAATAGTAGCGCGTCGGTTGCACAAAAGTCTTCTCTGTTGCGTGGGTTCGACTCCCACCGAGAGCGCGAATTTTTAAAAAATTGGGTCAATCGAATATATGTAAATGGATGTATGAGTTTCGCCGATCTTGTAGAGGAACAATGAAGTTCCGCTTTGTCCAGGTGCGCGCAACGCAAACCCGCCAGACCGTCACATAGTGACTAAGATGATATGATGAAGTGGAACACTGCAAGGAACCCGTGGACTAGTGAAAGAGTACTGAATTTAATGGCCAAAGGTCCCGGGTTCAAATCTCGGGGGTTCCAACATTCGAAATTGGGTATGACTGGCTGACGATGGCCAATAAGCCAGAAATGACCATTCCGGTCTCCCTTTTCTTTGTCGGATCCACTTCAAATATGCATACGTTTTCTACAAAATATATCAACATTTATAAGAGCATGGAAGATAATTGGTTTTTATAGGATTTACTTTCGCAAGCGGCATCCTGCCGTGACTGATATATCTTGAGACTGCGCTTCACAATACTTAGTAAGGAAACCGTACTTGAGTCATATCTTCTTGTCTTCAAGTCAAAAAAAGCCTGCAGTAATAATGCTGCCAATCAAGCGTTCATGTAAGGCTGCACTGACAGCAGTCTGTGTCTACTTAATAGGTCCACTTAATTGCCTCAAACTGGTGAATTAAAATAGTTCTATAGGGACTCAGAGAGGGTGAAGTCATCCCATAGGTGTGCTGGTTTTCAGACACTGTTTCATCCTTCCTCCCACAGCTATTGTATTATGTAATCAAACAATTGCGTAGTAACCCAAATCCGCATGTAATGCTCAACCTGGCTTCGAGCGAGTAGGCGCACATGCGTACGTGTAAGCCTATATCCGGTGTGGCCAATCACCTTCAAAGCTGACTCAAAAAGGAACTCGCTGTGGGGACTGCTGCTTTCTCGTAATTCGCACGCAGTCCCCTCGTCGGTGGTCGTGCATTCGACTGTCAACTTCCTCTAACCTATTCTTCACTAATTCTGTACAGAATCTTCAGTAACAATAAAGTTTGCCGAAGTGCTCAGATATCCCTAGCCCCAGGATTCTGTCTTACGGAGGCAGTGTTAATAAGGGTTTTATGGGACGGTTATATCATAGGAAAGGAAACTATAAAGTAAAGATCAGAGCATATCAAAACAGAAAATAATAGGAAATAAGTATTAGAATAAAAAAATATGGGCGCGATGATTCAAATGAAAAATACAACCAATAGGAAACTAGAAAAACTACGTGCAAATAGGCTTCACACCAATATTAACACTGTAGCGAAATTTAGAGGTTAAAATAAAAAATTAAACATAGGCTTCCCTTCATATTTAAAACTCATAATAGGTTCTAAGACACGTAGGTAGATACTGTAGTGCGGCAAGCCGAATAGCAACGGCATATCGCTTAAAAATATAGGTGAACTTAAAACTGAATTAAGGTAATAAACTACACAGTAAAATAAACACTTGACTAAAAGTAACAGAACTTAAAGTAACCGCAGAAAGCTGAATATTTCCTTGCAAGTGGGCACAGTTGTAAGCAGTAAAATGCAAATAGTAGTTATCTACCTGTAGTCATATAACACCGATGGGCAATTTTATAGTTAGCGAACATTCTATTCCTTCCACATCGCGTCCCATTTCTTCTATTCCCGCATGGAACCGGGCTCGCTGATCACAACAGCAAGGGTCTTCCCCATCAGCTTAAGTCACTGCTTCCTGCTCTACTGGAAATAGAAAAAATCAAGGTCCACACTCCTATGTGAGATCAAGGGAACATGCTCCCAGGCTCGACTCCAATCAGTGTCATTTCTGGCCTAATATCAGCACTACAGGCACTAATCTACACGGCTAGAAACAGCAGTAAAGACAGTAATTACAGTAGTAGAAATAGGAGACTCGGGCTCCTCGAATATTTCTGGGCACCTACAATGGGTGAGTGAGAGTATATAGTGCAGTTGTACCAGCTCAAATGGCTATTGTAGGACCATGTGAAATGACAGAACTTGCGATATTATTTAATAGCGTCTCCTTAACGATAAGATGACACGGCCTGATGGATAGAGTTGATAGGGCGCCAACCAAAGAAAGCCCGGATATGCTAGTATCATCACCGTCACTGTCCTACTGTACTTACCGGATAATGTACTGTCGTGATATTACAGATAGATAC